TAAAAATGAGGGGCACCTGGGTGGCTCTGTCCATTGAGAATCCATTTTTTTTTTTTAAATTTTTATTTACTTAGGATAGTCACAGAGAGAGAGAGAGAGGCAGAGACACAGGCAGAGGGAGAAGCAGGTTCCATGCACTGGGAGCCCGATGTGGGATTCGATCCCAGGTCTCTAGGATCGCGCCCTGGGCCAAAGGCAGGCGCCAAACCGCTGCGCCACCCAGGGATCCCGAGAATCCAATTCTTGATCTCAGCTCAGGTCTTGATCTCAGGGTCTTGAGTTCAAGCCCCACAAGGGGCTCCACACTGGGTTTGGAGTCTGCTTAAGAAGAAAGGAACTCGGGGATCCCTGGGTGGCTCAGTGGTATGGTGCCTGCCTTTGGCCCAGGGCACGATCCTTGAGTCCCGGGATCGAATCCCACGTCGGGCTCCCAGTGCATGGAACCTGCTTCTCTCTCTGCTTGTGTCTCTGCCTCTCTCTCTGTCTCTCATGAATAAATAAATAAATAAATCATAAAACAACAACAAAAAACCCATTAGGTGGCTGGGTGGCTCAGTCAGTTGCTTTCAGCCTTCGGCTCAGGTCAGGATCCCAAGATCCTGGGCTCCGAGTTGAGCTCCCTGCTCTTTGGGGAGCCTGCCTCTCCCTCTCTCTCTGCTTGCTGCTCTGCCTACTTGTGCAGCTGTCAGACAAAAAACAAAACAGAACCAAAAAACATAAACCCAGTTGTAGTGGAAAGGGGCTTATAATGAAGAACAGGACACAAGACACCTGTTTCACCTTTATGGCTCTCAAGTGATTTCTGGAACTAAGGACATGAGACCAAATATCATAACAAAAGATGCTTTCATTACTCTTTTTGCTGAGGAAATGCCAAGCATTTTTATGAGCTGAGCCAGGAACTATGAAGACCATATATATGAGAAGAAATACCTCTGGTCATCTGAATGACCAAATCATAATTATCCCAAATAATAAATCATAATATCCCAAGCCCTTAACATACGAGTCATAGTTTTTTATTTTATTTTATTTATTTTATTTAATTATTTTATTTTTTTTTAATTTTTAGTCATAGTTATTTTAAATGTCCTGTCTGTAATCCCCAAATCTGTGTCATACCTGAGTTTGGTTCTGATTCTTGCTCTTCTGTTCTGTTTGTTTTTTTTTCCCCCTTGCCTCTTAGCATGGCTTGTAGTGTGTGATTTATTGGGTAAAGGGACTGGAATTTATAAACAGAACTTTAATATGAGGTTTGATGTTAGTCTGGCTAGGAGTTGGATTGGTTTAATGTTTTCTGTAGATTTAGGTGCCAGTGGCTCTAAGTTTTTTTGTTTTTTTTTTTAAGATTTTATTTATTTATTCATGAGAGACCCAGAGAGAGAGGCAGAGACACAGGCAGAGGGAGAAGCAGGCTCCATGCAGGGAGCCCAATGTGGGACTCGATCCCAGGACCCCAGGATCATGACCTGAGCCAAAGGGAGATGCTCAACCATTGAGCCACCCAGGTGTCCCCAGTTTTTTTTTTTCTAAGTTCTTATAGTGACCTTGTTTTCCTCTGTTGTCTTTGTGTCCCAGATTTTTTTTTAATTTTTTTTAGATTTTATTTATTTATTCATGAGAGACACTCAGAGGCAGAGGGAGATGCAGACTCCCTGCAAGGAGCCCGATGCAGGACTTGATTCTAGGACCCTGGGATCACGCCCTAAGGGGAAGGCAGATGCTCAATGGCTCAGCCACCCAGGTGCCCCCCAGAACTTCCTTTTAAAGAGTCTGTGCCCGGAAGCTCTTGCAGCTGTAAGCTGCTATCGTCCTGGCAGAGCCCTGGTGACTTGGTGGCATGGGCTTTAGGAAGTGTTTTCTACTTTTATGATGAAATCTCAGTATTTAAGTGGGTGTGTATCCCTAGGCTGTGACCTTTCCAGAAGTCTCAGCTTTGTCCCCTCTTCCTTTGGTGAGGCAGAAAAGCTAGCGGGAACTGGGGTTGGGTGATATCTTACCATCCACCAACCCTGCGTGAGAAAAGGCCAGAAAAGTGGTTGTTTTCCTGTTGAGATTTGTTCTGTTTTAAGGGTGGGGTGGGGAGTGCCTGACCTCCAGGCCCTTTACAGGTGGAAACTGAAAGTGAAGTTGCTTTTCCTTTGGTTTGTCCTTAAAACAAATGCCCTCAAAGTATGAGGGCTGAGCTTGACTAAAAGAGGCAGGTGGCCATCTGTTTGGCCTTTTGGGCCAGAATGTGCAGGGAGGCAGACCCTCCAGGAAGGAAGGCCAATGGCGTGCCCTGCTCCTGGCTCCTGCAGACCCTGGGGGACCCCACTTCTTTAGCCTCCTGCTCAGCCTGGCCTTATCACATTTTGTTCAGCCTGAGCTCTCCCTGCCCCTCCCCCCTGGCCCAGCCTCCCAGGGATCTTTCTGTAAGGCAGACCTGACCATGCGGCTCCCCACTCAGAAAAGCTCTGCACCCATGGAATAATGTGCATGTTGCTCAGTGTGGCCTTCACAGATCCTCATGGCTGAGCTTTGCCTTCCTTCTGCTGCCCACCTCCTGCCTATACTGCATTAGGGTACCGAGGACACCCTGAACCGCTTCCAGGTCCCTCAACATCACAGGCTGTCTCCGGGGTCTCTGCCTTGCACCTGCTGATCCCTCTGGAACCCTTCCTGTCATCATGACTGCAATGTGACTCCACCAGCAAGACCCTGGCTCCTTGGGGAGGCCTTCTGCAAGCCTCTGGCCCACTCCTCAGGCAGTGCTGTGCTGTGAATCCCACTGATGCCCCAAGGGACCCCTCCAGGCTGAATCCCTACCTTACTCCAGGCAGAGGAGGCATGGGGGGGGCGCGGCGCACAGACACTTCCTATCTCCCCCAGGCTCTGCTTTGTCCCAGAGGTGGGAAGGGCACCAGACTGCATTGGCTCCCTCCGGCTGGGGAGGGAAGGTCCGCAGGGGAAGGAACATTTGTGTATTGACACCTGCTGTACAGACCAGGGATGAAGGAATTTGGCTCTGAAGCTAAAGTCTTGGGGTCCAGATCCCAAGCTCCACCATGTATTCTGCTCTCTGAACTTGGCAAGCCACTCACCTCTGTTTCACCAGCCTCGTGTATTGAACAGGTTCATGCATGGGACCTAGCTGAGGGAGAGAGAGGCCTCCTGAATGCAATGCATGTACATGGTAAAAGCTCAACAAGTGCTAGGTGTTATTAGAGCCACCACGCTGGCCACACGCCATGCCACCTGCTGTTGTGTCCTGGGTCCACTTCGTCCTCTGTCCTGGATCCATTTCCTACCCTGGGTGGCAAGACAAGGGTGTCAGTTCCCCTCCGTGGAGCAGGCCGCCGAGGTGCTGTGGGAGTGGCAGGGCTGTCTGCTTCCTCCCCTGGCCAGCCACCGCTCAGACCTCTCCTCCTCTCCTGGAGTGGCTGAGGGAGGCCCCCGGCTGGCAGGGAGGCTGCACATTTAGGCTGTGTCAGGCCTGGCCTGCGGTGTCCACAGGCTTCTTGAAGGAGGTGGTGGCAGTGGCCGTGGTGGGGTAGGGGGCCACGTGGTTGGAGCTGTGCCCCAGCTCCATTCTACTCCCTCCATGCAGGTGGCAAGGAGGGAGCTCCCCATTCTTTAGGGTGTGACTACATAATAAGGGAGTACAGAGCTGGGGGGCTTTGATGGCACACTCATTCTCACTAACTCCAAAGAGGCTGGTGTTCTGCCTCCAGGTTACAGAAGTCCTAAGATGATGCAGCCAGGGTTGTCCAGAAACTGGCACACAGGGAGTGCTTCATTCCCCTCTCCTAGGTCTCAAGTTGAGAAAGTCCCTCCCACCACCCTTGCACTATAATCGCAGCATGTTTGCCCCTCATTTTACAGAGTAAAGCTGAATTACTGCAAGAGGCCAGTTTAGGATAACACGGACCCTGTTATACATCTGAAGAGATACATTGCACTCTTCCACACTGTGCTCGGTGGTACAGTGCACAACCCACACAACTGCACACAGCAGCCCAAATCATCCACAGAAGAGGTCGTCTTTTTGGAGCACAGCTGTTGAATCCAGTCTCCTGAGCTGAGATGTCCATCCTGTCTTCCAGCATTTTAGGTGTTCTGTTTATTGTTACACAAACCAATCTTAACTGGTTCCAAGACTTCTCTGACTTCTGGCCCAAACCTTTGGCAGTCAGATGCCTTGAAGGAGTGATCGACCTTGCAGATCACCTCACCTCCCACTCTCATTGGCCCCAGCCTTCCTTCCAGGTTATTCCTCCAAGGTCACTCCCCAATTCCATGGTCTCCCCTGGCTCCCCTCCTTCATCTCTCCTGGACATTGTGTGATCAGTGGTAATCTGTTCTAATGCTGTGGCAACACTCCAGGATTCTCCTGCTTCTCATCTTCTTCCGCCTGCCCCAGAAATGTGGTCCTCCCACCCTCAAGCTATGGCCAGTTCCTTGCTGGCACATTCTGCACCTACCCTGAGTCCATGGCTCTATTTCTGTCCATCCCACTGTAGCAGGATGCAGCTCCCCCACCCCACCCCCGGCCCAGAGCTGGAGACCATCAGAGTGTGGGGGATCAGACCACTCAGACCCTGCCCTCTGGCTTCTTTCTCACCAGAGCTGCTCCTGGCCTTGGTGTCCCCAGGCCTGCCCCAACCCCCTGCCAGCTTATCACTAAGAGAGGTGCCATTTTGCCCCCTCCCCTTCCGCTCAGTCACTCAGTCACAGGTGACAAACTGGTGGTCCATAGCACATTTTGTTTGGCCTGCCATACTTTCCCAAGGTTTCGATTATGTGCTATCATATAGAAATTAACCCATTTCTGGGACGCCTGGGTGGCTCAACAGTTGAGCCTCTGCCTTGGGCTCAGGGCGTGATCCCAGGGTCCTGGGATGGAGTCCCGCATCAGGCTCCCCATGGGGAGCCTGCTTCTCCCTCTGCCTGTGCCTCTCTCTGTGTCTCTAATAAATAAAGTCTTAAAAAAATAGAAGTTAACTGATTTCACGTAAGAATCCAGAATCCTAGTTTCTTTTTTAAAAAAAAATCAAGATCCAGCAACACTAGGCCCCCATCCCTGCACGGTGACACCCAGTGACAGCGGGTCTTGGCAGTTCCCTTTTGGTAGAACTCGCACACGGGTGTCTGCAGTTTTAACCTTCTGGATGGTCTTGGCCATGCGCGGCGGCAGCAGCGGAGGTGGCGTGGCTGCTGCCGACGTGGTCCTGGGAAAGGAACGGAAAGCCGTCAAGTCTGAACACGCAAAGGAGGGTACAGCAGGGCAGCAGGAAGGGGCGGGCGCTCCAGCCTCTCCCCATCACTGTTTATTGCTAGCAACTCATCTGGGTGCCCATGCGTGTCCTGTCCTGGCTCAGGCCTGCCTCAGGACGTTGGGGGCGCTGGGCTGCTGCAAACCTTGGTTGTCCTCCTGGTGTGGGAACCTGGGTCTGATGTCCTGAGCCTGAGGAGCAGTGTGGCCTTGGGGCACAGGCTTCCTTCCTGTCAGGCTGGCTCAGCCAAAGGTGCACCAGGGGGTGGCAGCCTTGTCACAGTCCAACAGGATGTTAAGAACAGTGCAGGGGGCCCCGGCCACTGACAGGGCTGTGCGGGAATCCACATGGTACTTCACGGTGCTCAGGCCTCCCTCCCGGTCTACCTTGAATTGCTCCTGGGAAGGAAAGGGGGAGATGGTGCAGCTCAGAGCTTTGTGGCTGCCCTCTGGCCCCAACTGTACCCCCAAGTAAGCAGGAGAGAAGGACCAGTCTGGCTTCTAAAAGGGAGGCCCTGTGCAGGATGGTGGTTCCTGTGTCACAGGTCACCCACAGCGGGGTCCTGCCCCTGCCTGCCTGGACCCCAAAGTGTCTGCTGACCCATGGTGCCCAGAAGCATGTGGAAGCCACCAGAGCAGGGCACAGTGTCCCGGCAGAATGCTCAGGGCCTGACCTGGGCCAAGCGGGGTAGCCCAGGGCCAGCTGGGCCTGAGGGCAGTGTGGTGAGAGGCTTGGCTCTGCTGCTTCCCCACATAACACCGATCTGTCCCCAGGCAGGGGACCAGTCAGCACCTGTTTTTGAGCTGCGATGCGTTTCTGGTCCCTCTTCCGCCAGGCGGGGTCATGCAGGTGGTGAAATGTCTTGTACCCGGTTGTGATTCCCGAAGGGCGGAAAAGCTACGAAGGCCAAAGGAAGTTGGGTCAGGCCGCCCTCCTGGAGCCCTGGCCCTCACCACTAGTCTTCTGGGGTCCCCGCTGGCCCCAGCACCAGGCTGCAGGCAGGGAGCAACCTCCAAGCCCAGGGAACTGCATCGGAGGGCAGAGAAGGGAAACTCAGGGCAGCCCCAAATGCTGAGGAGGTGGGGGGCCCTGCAGAGGGCATTACCTGCAGCCCGGCCCCTTTGATGCGCCGGTAGAATTCATCATCTTCACGGCCCCAGCCCCAGAAGCGGTTGGACATCCCGTTGCACTGACACAGAGACAGGGAACATCACTTGCCCCATCCTTGCTGGGGCGCTCTCCGATCTCCTAGCACTTGGGAGTAGGCCAAAGCCCCCTGCTCGTCCTCTGCTGGAGGCCCTCATGGGCACCCGGGTGCCTTCGGTGCCTGCCGCTGTGGCACTGTGGAATGATCACCACAGCCCAGTCCCTCTGCCTGTTCTGATGGGGTCCTGAACTTGGGTGAGATTGCTGGTTTCTCAAAAATGTCTGACTGGCGGGAGGACACCTCTTGGGGGAGATGGTGACGGGCAGAAGCGGCACCTCCTGCATGGCCTCTGCCTGCCTCATACCCCCATTTCTCCCCAGGGAGGCTCTGCCTTAATGTCCTTCCATGGGGAGAGGGATGCTGGGGCTCGGTGGCAGACACCTCTGTTTGGGGCTTTGTTTACGTAAAGCTGGCTTCAGCCACAGCCTGGAGAGAGGGACAGGAGGCAGGGGTCTAAGTCACTTGATCACCTTGGATGTCTGGAAGTAAACCCCCTCTGGAGAAAGCCAGATGGCAGTTGAAATGGCATCCCGGGGACACTGTCTGAGAAGCTGGGCCAGCCACACCTGAAGCCAGCCCCTGGCCCTGCCCAGACTGGTCCACTTTGAGAGCCTACGAATCCCAAGTCTTGTGAAGCCAGCTTGTACAGAATCCTCCCTGACGGACTCACTCGGCCCTGCTCCTGGGCTCCCGTGATGGGCCTGGGCAGGACTCCTCCATCTGCTGGGTCCCCAAGACTGCTGTGGCTCCTGCCAAAGCCCCTGCCCCCCGAGCCGCGCGGGGCCTCACCAGCTGGTAGTGCTGCTTAGAAAGCAGCAGGATCCCGCCCACGTAGGTCTTGTAGTGGTACAGTGGGTGCAGCTCTGGGGAAGCCACATGGAAGGGCCCGGCCTCAGGGAAGCCATAGTCCAGCTCCTCGTTGAGGGGGAGCAGGTCCACATCGTGCATGGCGATGTAGTCCGTGCTGTTGCTGCTCTCCAGGAAGCCCACATTGATGAGGGCCGCCCGGTTGAACCTGCACAGGGAGGCCAGGGCTGAGCTGGGGCCAGGGGCAGTGAGCTCGTTCTCCCCACACTGAGTGAGAATCTGCCCTCTGTGGTACTCAGCCCCTGGCACCTGTCGGGCCCCCCTGCCTGATGCTGACTCCCCTGTGGGGCTGCCCTCCACTTGTCTCTCAAATGTCTACCAAGCACCTGCTATGTGCCAGAAACCGTCTGGGTCACTGGAGTCACGGCACTGACAAATCAGAGCCCTGCCCTCCAGGAGCTGACATTCTAACGAGAGGAGACACAGATCAGTAAATATGTACCCAGGCAGGCCATTCCTCCATGGAGAAAAGAAGAGTAGGGGGAGGAGGGGAGAGCATGCTGGGATTGGGGTGGGGCGGGGGGGGGGGTGGTCAGCGAGGGCCTGGGGGATGGGGTAGCATGAGAAGGCCTGAGGGAATGAGCCGGAAGGGCATAAGTAGAATGGGGCTCTGAGCAGAGGTGAGAGCAGCCACCAAGGTCCGAGGCAGGAACAGATGCCACGATGGTCAAAGCAGAGGGACCCAGGAAGGCTTAAGGGATGCAGTCGGCAGGGGCTGCAACCCAGATTAAGATGCAGGAGCCACTGCAGGCCTTCAAGCAGAGGCAGGACACGCTGTGACCTTGGGTATCACAGGATTGCTGTAGCTGGGGTGTTGAGGTGGGAGAGTCAGGGGTGGAAGTGGGGAGTCGGGCTGGGAGGCTACCACACTAATATAGTCAGGAGATACTGGTAATTTAGCTCAGGGAGGTGGTGAGAAGTGGGCAGATTCTAGATGTATTCTGAGAGATGGGATGCGTTGTGTGAGGGAAGAGAGGAGCGGCCATCTCCTGAAACGGGGAAGGGGGTGGGTAGGAAATCAGAAATAGTTTTGATCACATGAAGCTTGGGATGCCCAAGACTCCCATATGGAGGTTGACACAGGTGGTTGGTTGCACGCACGGGTCTGGAGGTCAGGAGAGGTCTGGGCTGGGAACACAGACTCAGGGGTCAGCAGGGTATGGATGGGGTCTAATGCCAGGAGATGGGATGACATCCCCAGGGAGTGACTGGAGCCAGAGAAGAGGATGCCCAAGCACTGAGCCCCAAGAACACCAGGGCCGGGACGTCAGGGAGGTGAGGCAGAACCAGCAAAGGGCGTGGTGGAGGGCAGTGAGGAAGGACAAGCAGACTGTTGTCTCAGAAGCCAACCAGAGGTGTTTTAAGAAGGAAGAAGTAACCCAGTTGGCAAATGCAAATGCTGAGGGGGTGGGGTGAGGTGGGGAGATGGGGGGGCGGTGGATGGGATGAAGGCTGAGAACAGGGCTTGGGTTAATGCAGTGGGCTCACTGATGATGTGAGCCTTTTAGTGTCACGATGGGGGTAAAAGTCTGGGTGGAACAGGTTCCGGAGAGACCGAGAGGGGGGAGTTCTGCTATAAAGGGGAGCAGAGAAAAGCAGGTGATGGGAGGTCATGGAGTCTTCTCTTTTTTTCTTTGGAAGGGAGCTATTTCAGTGTGTTTGCTGATGCGAATGCTCCAGGAGAGAAGAAAAATGGATTATGCGGGAGATAAAGGAGCTGGGGCTGGGGAGCCACAGTGAGAAGGGGGTCCAGGGCGGAAGAGCTGGCCCTGCAGGAGCTGGGACAGGGTATCCCCAGCATGGCGGGAGCCTGGTCCGCCTGCAAGGAGGCTGGTGGGCACTTGGGCATGCTCTCTTCCAAGCTGGTTGTTTTCTCAAACAGGAAGCAGTCACCAGCTGAGGCTGAGGAAAAGGCGACGCAGAGAAAGGGTGCAAAGCTGCCTCACAGAGGGACAGGCAGCAGGCCAGGGGAACGCAAGGCTTCCAGGCAGGCCTGCGGGGCTTCCTGGGCCAGGGCTCATGGCTGGGGGGACGAGTGAGCAAAGTCTCCAGATACATCCAGCCACCCAGGTGCAGGTGTGGAGCTGTGCCGCGGACTGATGCTAATGGTGGACCACGGAATCCAAGCTGGGGGAGGAGGAAGTGAGGACCAGGAGGGTGGGCCATGAAAACTGGGAGAACTGTGGCCTGAAGGGTTGGGGGTGAACCTGTCTCCTAGCGGAGCAAGGTGGAGGGAAAGGAGGTGGAGGTGGGGTGGGAGACGTGGACTGGCTGGTGGGAGGGAGCAGTGGGGGAAAGGGCAAGGATCTCAGGGTAACACCAGACTGTGAACTACTTCCAGGCGGTGCTCTTGACCCTCCCTCTCCCTCGGCCCTGCAGCCAATCTACTAGAAACCTCTGTGTGCGCTCTCTCCCCATGACATCTCTCCACCCGTGGGGCCCCAGAGCCAAGACACGGCACCTCCCCCACCCAGCGGGTCTCCCCACCCCTTCTGTCTGGGTAAAAGGGATTCCTTTTCCAAAACGGCTGCTATCAGATCAGGATCCTCCTTAGCTCTAAACCCTGCTGTCAAATTAACGTCACAACGGCGAGAAGGGTTTACCGCTCCCCCCTCCTGCCACTGCCCAGGGATGGGGAGGGAAGCCCTTTGGGAGGCCAGAGGCCCACTGGGCACTGCCCCCCGTGGGAAGGGGAGGAATCCGGCGGGGAGAGGCCCTACCGGAAGTGGTCCACCTGGTTGAGCACATAGATGTGGTGCGGGATCTTCTTCCTGCTCAGGAAGCGGTGCAGGTGTGGCACGAAGACCAGGAGCTCCTCGAAGCGCTCGCGGAAGGGCACCAGCACCGCCAGGCGGTGGGGGCCCCAGGACGCGTCTTCGTCCCAGCGCTCGGGCGGCGGCTCCGGGGGGCAGGCCCGGGGTGGGCCCGGGGTCTCCTGCCCTTGTCCCCTGGCTACCCGGGTCACGTCCCCGGAGCAGCTGAGCTGCAGCCAGAGCAGGGAGAGGAAGCCCAGTGAGAGACAGGCCACGAAGAGGTGGAAGACGGAGCATTTCCGGGGGAGGCCGCCGGGGACCAGCCTGGACCTGGGACAAGAGCCGGGACAGGGTCAGAAGGGCGGGTGGAGCCGGGGCCCACTGACAGGCCCTCCTCCGGCCTCCCCAGGAGTGGAGCACACAGGACGGGTCTGCCCCAAGCGCCTGCGAGTTAGTGCAGAAGCCGCTCCAGTGATTTTGGTCATGCTGCTACCTACCACGCATCAGAGTCCTGCTCCCTGCTATCCGCCTAGCCTGCGTCACCCCACTCCCAGGAAGCCCTCCCACCCCAGGGAGGAGCTGCCCCAGTTCCTTCACACCCCCTTACTTTCTGCTTGTGGACGCAGGGCAGATGGAGAGCTGCTGGAGGACAGGGATGAGACTCGTCCTTGGCACCTGCCCGTTCCCAGGACAATGGCTGAAGGTCCAGAACCAGAGCCCATGGCAGGGGCAGGAGCCCCCTCCCCCCTGCAGATCCCACCCACTGCCTTCCAACCTCCTTCCCCTGTCAGTTGGCCCCCAGCTGAAACCTTGGCTTCAGCCTGCTGCTCACGCCAGAAAGGTCCCCATGGCAGGGCCCCGTGCTGACATCAGTCCCAGGGAAAAGACCTAAGTTGACTGGGAAGATTGAATCTGCCCTCTAAAACCCGCAAGGCCCAAACTGACAGTGGCAGTTCACTGAATGGGTCTCAAAAAGCTTTGGTCCAAGGTGCAGCCCATGTGACAAGTGATGAGAGCTGGGAGAGGGAAAGAAGGACGAGGGCCGGGTATGGAGCCCAGGCCAGGTGTAGCTCGGACACAGGGAGTGCTGGGAGAGGCTGCCCTCCCGGTCAGGAGGTGGGATTCACCTGATTGCTTTGCAGAGGAGCATGAAGGAGCCGAACAATCTCAGGAAAAGAAAGAGTTCTCTACCTACACTCCCTGAAATAACCTGCAGAACGCTTGGCTTTCTAGCCGCCAGCGAGGTATAGCAAGCAGGTGGTATTGATTCGTCCCCCACCTGCTCCCTACCACTCAGACGGCGTGTACGGGGTAACCTAGGGCTTCCGCCACTCACCATTTTCCCTCCTGTGCCAGCGCTCACTCGGCCTGCCACTTCTGCCTGCAGTGCTCTTCCTCAGCTCATCTTCCTGGAAGCCCCCCTCTCATCTCTCAGGGTCAAACTCCTATGTATGGCCAGCTCGGTCCGGTCCCTCCGCCTCAACTCCAACGCCAGCACCAGCACTGCCCACCCCTCTGCGTGCACACAAATGGATACACGTGCCCCCTCCGTGGCATCTGGTCCTTTCCTCTTTGAAACAGAGTTCTGTAGTCACTTGTGTCCCTGCTCATCTTCTCCACGAGTAATCGGTTCCTGCCTGTGGCCCCAGTTTAGACAGCAGAGGGCTTGCTAAGTGAGTTACAGGAAGGTTCAAGCAGTCAGGGGCATGCTTTGAGTCACACACCACAGCCACATCAACTCCTGACTTCGTCTGGAGCATAACTGCCAACCTGGAAGCCAGCAACCCGGAAGGAAGCCAGGTCCCCCACACAGCAGAGAGGTGGCCAGGTAAGGCACCCTGACAAGGCTTCTGACTTACCCCCCATTGTCCTGTGGTGGGGGTTTCCGCTGGGGAGGAGGGGAGCTCAATCCTGCCAGTGGCCTGGGAAGGCTGGAACCTCTACAGATTCTCTCTCGCCCTCGGGCCTCTTTCTGGGGGTGGGATGGAGACCCGGGATATGGACATGAGGAAACATCCCACCTTCGGGAAAAGAAGCAGTGACCGTTATCCAGGGGTGTGGCACGGACTGGGCATTCTGTGCAGTTTCACATGCTGTTCCTTCAGTCCAGCTTCTCTTTCAGGATCAGGTTCTCATGGGCAATCTTGTCCTGGGCTCTAAGGGCCCAAATGGCTGAGCAACTAAATTTGGAGCCAAATCTCAAGTCCTCAGGATAGCGGACACTGAAAACACTCCTGGTGCCACCTGGTGGCAGACTCCAGACCTGCAGTCCCAGGTGCTCCCAGGCCAGGGCACCCTGCTATGATGGGTAGACCAGATGCGGTTTTGTCTTCATCAACCTGTGCCTGAGGCTAGAAAAAGGCAGATTCCAAACCAGGCAGGCTGGCCCCAGAGCCAGCACTCTTAATTGCCACACTAGCCCGTATCTGTTGCATGGACTTCTGTAGCCCTGTGTCCAAAGCAGGAATTGACATGGGTAACTTTTTGGGGGAACACATGTACATTCCAAAGGTTTATAGGAAGGGATCAGAGAATGGAAGTTCTCCTCCATCACCTTCCTTTTCCTCCCTTACACAAATCTTAGTGGTACAAGTTTGAATATCAGCCGCTCTGGTCACAGCACCTCCCAACTGCAAAGGGAACTAGAAGACACCTCCTTCTGTGCCAGGCACAGTGTCAAGAGTCTTACATTCGTGGTCTCTTTTACTCCTCACCCAGCCCTGCAGAGTGCATATTACGATCCCTGTTTCAGAGGTGGAAAAGCTGAGGTCAGAAAGATTAAGTGATCTGTTTCTGGTCACAGGGCCCGTAAAGAGGATTCCCGCCCAGGGCTGACTCCACGGTCCAGGCTTTCCTTCTACTAGATTCCTGTCTTCCTCCTTCCACACTGTCGGAAAAATCCCTCCAAACCAAGGAGTGGAGCCCACTATTTTCCAGAATCTTTGGCACCTGGGAACCTGGGAAATGTCATTCGCTGGATAGGTGGAGACCCACTCTCCGTGTTTGGGGTGAGAAGACTTGGGGGGGGGCACGTCTGAAGAATGAAGTGTGGCTGTCCTCCCAAATCTAGGTGGGCCAAGAGCTCCCCTGCCCACTCCCCCCCCCCCCACCCCCGATTCTGCTTTGGTGGAAAACATCATTGGCTCAGGTCTGGCCCAAGCGCACACCCGACACCTGGAGCGGGGCCCGCTCGAGTCCAGCTGCCCCGGAAATGAACCAGCATTAGGCGTGCGGAGAGCCTAGCACGGGCCGGGCAGTGGCCGGCCTGCCCCGCGCAGCACGCGCAGTCCGTCGGGGAAGAGGCTGGCAGGCCGCCGAGGCTGGGGAGGCGTGAGACCGGCAGGGTCCCGGGCTTCGCGGAGGCCAGGGCAAGGGGCCGGCGGCAGACGGAAAGACAGACCCAGTGGGGGGGTCGCTGCAGTCAGAGCCGCGCGGGGACGGACGCCGGGGCGGAAACACGGACACAGACAGACCTCTACCGAGGGACGGGGGCTCACGAGGGGAGGTCCTGGGAGGGACACGGCGCCCGCAGACACAGACACAGACACAGACACGCAGGCACCCCCAAAGAGAACCACAGACCCTCAGGAAGCCCCGCAGGCGGGGACGCGACGGCCTCGGGCTCCGGATCCCGCGGGGCGGCCCGGAAAGGATCGGCACCCGGGAGGACGGGGCCCGGGCCGGCCGCCGCCGCTCACCTGCCGTCCTCCCAGGGCAAAGGCGCCGCTTTCCTCCGGGAGGGGAACATCGTGGGGGGAGGCGGCGGCGCATGGGACTCGAGCTCCCAGCCGGGCCGGCCGGGCCTCCCGGGCCTCCCGGGCCTACGCGGCGCCTCCGCCTCCCGCCCCGCCCCGGCCGGTCCGCCCCGCCCCTCGGTCCGCCGGGTCCGCCGCTCCAGCCGCGCCGTCCGCTCCCCGGAGCCGTCTCCGGAAAGGTTCCGCGGGCGAGGACCGCCCAGGCGCCGCCGCGCCGCCCGCCAGCTGCCGCGCGCCCGGGGACCCGCGGGTTCTCCCGACAGCCCGAGAGCCCAGAGCGAGCGCAAGGCACCGGGCCGGCGAGAGACTCCACACTGCCACCCCAGCGCTCCGGGACGGTGCGCATCCTCCTCCTCCTCTTCCCGGCCCCGCGGGCAGGCGCCTGCTTCCTCCGCTGCGCGCGGGGCTGGCGGCGAGGCCGGGCTCCGGGCTCAGCCTCGGCCCGGGCAGTACCCCAAGGCCTCGCGAGGAGCCAGGCCCCAGAGACACCCTCGCCGCACGGGAAACCTCCCTCTGCCAGTCCAGCTGCGTGTGGGGCCAAGGCACCATCTCCTTGCATCTGCTTCCTCACTTGAGCGTATAAATAGGTTATCTACTGGGTTGCCGCGGTGGGAAAACCGCAAACACTTGGTAGGCTGCTGGGCACATAGCGCTGTCACTAGCGGCTGTTACCCGCTTTGCTGGAGCTGAGGTGAGCACGGAAGAGGGAGTAAGATAGAGTTTTTTAAAAAGATTTTATTTATTTATTCATGAGGGACATACAGGCAGAGACATGGGCAGAGGGAGAAGCAGGCTCCCTCCGGGGAGCCGGATGTGAGACTCGATCCCAGGACCCCAGGATCACGTCTGAGCCAAAGGCGTGGGCCACCCAGGTGCCCCTAAGATTTCGTATGTCCGCCCTGGCACAGTGGGAGCTTGCCTGGATGGGCCAGCCTCCCACCTAGGAAAAGACAGTAACAGAGTCCTTCGGCTTAATCTCCCCTGCTCTTCAGGCAAATGTAAAGTTCTCTGATAAATAGCTAACATCTATTGAGTTCTGACTATGTGCCAGTCATTGTTCTAAATTCTTTACTGCTGTTTTGTCATTCAGTCCTTATGGGCAATGACCTTACTATGCCCACTTGAAAGACCGGGGCACAGAGAGGCAGTTCAGGGTGTAAACCAAAACGCATTGGTTGCACAGTCTGTGGTCTCAACCACTGTGCTTGCAAAAGGACTTTCCTTAGGTGAGAAATGTGATCATCCCCAGCAGCTCCCTTTCTCCCTTACACCTGGTGTACAACCTACCAGGGACCTTGCTGAACTCTGCCTCTGCCCTGCACTCTAGAACAGAACCATGGCAAATGCAGCCTAGCTTTGGCTGATGACAAAGGCAAGGCTGATTGACCCCTTGCAGAGACCAGCCAGGTCAGGCCAATAATGGAAGCAGGAAGGGTGGCATTAGGACCTGAGAGTATAAGCCCATCTAAAGGGGACACCTACCATTTGGTCCAGTTCATTGTCCATCACAATGAAGCCCCCCCCCCAAAAAAAAAAAAAAAAAACAATGAAGCCCAACTGGTATCAGATCTGTCTCAAGAAATAAGATTTCAGGGGCGTCTGGGCGGCTCAGTCGGTTAAGTGTCTGTCTTCAGCTCAGGTCGTGATCCCTGAGTCCTGGCATAGAGCTCTCCCTCTCCTGCCCCTCCCTCAGCTCATGCTCAGTCTCTCAAATAAAATAAATAAAATCGTTAAAAAAAATAAGATTTTGGGCAGCCCGGGTGGCTCAGCGGTTTAGCGCTGCCTTCAGCCCAGGACCTGATCCTGGAGACCGAGGATCGAGTCCCGCATCCGGCTCCCTGCATGGAGCCTGCTTATCCCTCTGCCTGTGTGCCTCTCTCTGTCTCTCATGGACAAATAAATAAAAAAATCTTTTAAAAAAATAAGATTTCACATAAAAAGCCTATCTTAAACAGTGACACCCACAGTCATGTTGATAAGCATCCTAGATAGGATGGGATGACAATGGCACATTTCTGATCTTTCTTTCAAAAAACTCAGAACTCCTGTCTAATCATGAGAAAAACCGACACATCCCAACTGAAGGAAATTCTACAAAAAACCTGAATAGTACTCCTAAAAATTGTCAAGGTAATAAAAAACAAGGAAAGTCTGAGAAAGTCACAGCCAAGAAGGGGCTAAATGTGACGTGGTGCCCTGGATAGGATCCTGGAACAGAAAAAGGGCATTAGGTGATGGCTAAGGAAATTTGCATTTGGTATGGACTTTAAAAATAATGTATTGCTAGTGTTTAACAAATGTATCATGCTAAAGCAAGGCATTAGTAATGGGGGGGAACTATTATTACAATTTTTTTTAATTACAAAGCTGTTTTTAGAAAGCGTTTTTATTTATTTATTTTTAATTTTAAAAAAGATTTTATTCATTCATGAGAGACACACAAAGAGAGGGGCAGAGACACAGGCAGAGAAAGCAGCAGGCTCCATGCAGGGAGCCCGATGTGGGACTTGATCCTGGGTCTCCAGGATCACACCCTGGGCTGAAGGCAGGCACTCAACTGCTGAGCCACCCAGGCATCCCCAAATGTCTTCTAATTCTGACCAACCTTCCCTAACATAAGCTTCCTTAAACCCCCTTCCCGAATTCATGGAAACAATGCCTATTGACCACCTGCTATTGCTTCCCACGCCCCCAGCTCTGCCTTCTTCCATCAGAATCTTTCCTCTCCAAGGTCCTTGCCAAAATCCCGTGCTATTGGTTATGACCATCGGCATCCTCATGCCCACCAGCGCAGGGATTTCTGCCCTTCCCAAACCCGCAGCCCTTTTCTGTTCAACACACGCTACCTTCTTGAATGAGGTACTTCCTGGCAGCACCATGACAGTGCTATCCATTTACTTTGGAAATGCAGGGAGGGCACTTGTGTCACAAGGGAGCGGACACAGAGGAAAATGCTGTCAGTTTGAGCACCAAGCCCACAATTCACCTGTTTTATGGTCTTGGGCAAACCCACTATCCCCTGTGACAAGGTGGAGAGAGGACAGAAAGGATAAAGCCCACGGGTGGGTTTTCATCTTGGAATATGAAGTGCTTCACA